CTAATATTAAATGTATAGAGAACCCAGGACAATGAGACCTCCCAAATAAAAGACCCAATCAAAAATAGGCAATTGAAATGAACATACGCTTCATAGAAGTACAAATGACCAATATATGCATGAAAAAATGTTCCACATCTCTGGCCATTCGAGAAATGCAAATGAAAACAACACTAAGATTCCATCTTAGTTCATTAAGAATAGCTAGCAGGGATCCGTGCATGCACATGCTCATAGCAGCACCATTCATAATAGCTAAATCCTGGAAGCAGCCTTTATGTCCATCCACAGATGAATTAATAACAGCAACATGGTATTTCTATACAGCAGACTACTACCCTGCCCCAAAGAGGGATAAACTTGGGTCATATGCAGGAAAATGGATGTGCCCCGAGACCACGAGTTTAAGTGAAATCGATCAGGCACACAAGCTTAAACATCACATGGTTTCTCTTCTGTGAAAAACCTAAAGTAAAAATAAAGAGCAAAATAAAAGATAGATGGTAGGAAATAGGAAGACAGATCTTTTGTAAAAGGGAAAGGGAGGAAGAGATGGAGGGAGGGGTGAGGAAGGGGCTGGAAAAGGGGTGAAAGAAGACTGAGGATGCTCTGTGCGTGCTCCAACTCCACCGCCAGTGCCGTCGTTCCGTGCAGCAAGCACAGACTAATACAAAATAAATAGTAAATGCTCCACATGGTTGTAGTCACCAAAAAATGAATTTATCACAGCAGCTATTTTTTTTTTTGCCAAAATAGTGTGTTGGAATTTTTATTTGGATTGCTTTGAATACACAGAAATTATATCTCTATATACAAGCTTGCAATTAGAAAAATAGATTTTAAAATAGTTTCAATACCATCAGAAAGCACGAAAGAATGATACATTTAACAAAATGGGTTCAAGATCAACACACTGAGTACTGCAAAACCACGTCCAGGTAAATTTAAAAAGACCTCCATGAGTAGACCCAGCAGCCATGCAGTGGAAGACTGAGTAGCCACGTGTAGACAACATACGCCCAGTCCAAATCTCAGCAGCATTTAAAAAAAAAAAATTGACATGCTACATCTAACATCCACAGAAAGATACAAAGAGGCCAGAAGAGCCCAACTTTTTACATGAACTTGGCAGCCCTCAGCTGAAAGACTTCTCAGCTTTTCATAAGGCAGTGAGCAAGACAGTATGCTACTTCATTAAGACTGACCGACAGACCAGTGGGGCAGAAGAATGAGTTGAGAAACAGACTCTCGCAGATGTCGCCAACTGATTTTCTTTAAGGTGCGAGGAGAATTCCGTGGGCCAGGGCAGTTACTGCGGAGCCTGGAACTGGAGGAAGGGAATACTCACGTGAAGACAGAGAAGAGCCCTGACTCTTCGTTACATAATCTAGACAGCTCTCGGCACAGATTAAAGCCCAAACCTACAATCACAACCCGGTATTACTAGGCTGGGTGTAGCTCAGGTGTAGAGCACTGGCCAACATGCCTGAGGCCCTAAATTTGTTCCCAGCACCCCTCAAAAGCCACTATTTAGTGACTGTCTAAGGAAGCATAGAGAACCCTACCACTTTAGCATAACTCTCAGATCGGATACAAAAACATGGGCCTCAGTTAAAAATCGATACAAGTTTGATGAGTCTTTTTGTATGACACATAAGAAATGAAGCCCAAGTCAAATACAAGAGACAAGACCGTGCATGGCCTGACAGCTTTGTAATAACTCGACGAGAAACACCCTGAAGTCCACCCATGGATGAATGGATAGTCATAAAGCCAGGCACTGAAATCCAGCACAAGAAACAATTACAGGTATACTAAAAATACGAGTGGATCTCCAAGCAGATCTTCTAGGGACAGAAAACCAGACGCAAAATGTCTGTATGATTCCACTGACATAAAAATCAAGAAAATTCAAAACTTAGCTATAGAGACAGACAGCCTCCCAGAGGCCAGGGTGTACGATGGAAGAGACTGAAATGTCCCTGAGCAGAGTAGGTGTGGACGCACATGTATATATTTCTTAAAATCCACTCCACTGGACACCTGAAATGGGTGGTTTCCCCTGTGTGTGAACTGACGTGGAAAGGGAGAGTAGGGGAGTTTAGTCTTAGAGCAGTGCTAGTGGAAAGGAGGTGTGGCCGGATGGACAGTGCACAGCCAGATGTCCCTTGTCTGAAAATCTTAAATCCTGAATGCTCAAAATGAGAAATTTTTGTGCACCGACTTGACATCGCACTGGCTTTATGTGCAGGCACAGGAAAGATACTGTGTAAATTACCTTAGGCTACGAGTATATAGTGTTCATGAAAATAAATGCATTTCATGGTTAGACTTGGATCTCATCCCCTAGATACCTGATTATGTATGTGCAAATATTTAAAAATCTGAAATCTGAAATCCTTCCTGTTGCCAGCCTCTTGGACCATGGACTCTCAGCCCGTGATTGAAAGGGTAATTAGCAGGCAAAGACAGAAAGAGGTCCACAGTGCACTTAGAGGAGAAGACAGGGCCCTCTGCTCCAGGGAGCAGAAAGCCTGTTCCAGCCAGTGGTGAATGGATGTGCTCGATTGGTGATGCCTGTCCAGCTTGAGGAAGAGAGGGGCACAGGTGCGAGCTCACTGCGCACCTGTGTGCGCAGGCGGCCCTGTGCTGAGCTAAGGCTCGTGGAAGGTGGGCCTGTGACACAGCAAGAAATATCTCACCCAATCACCCCAAGGAGAGGGCAGAGAAAGAGCAGGTATGACTGATAATCACGGTGAAGCAGGGCTGGTTATGCAACCCGACAAGGCTGTCTTCCTGTCTCTAGGAGGCCGCTAGGTTAGAAGTGTCTGCACACCCCTCACCTGCTGCTGGGAAGACTGTGGTCCAGGCCCCCAAAGCAAGAGGGCATCTAGGACCAAGGGTGAGATGCAATGCCTCTGTTACTCTGAGTTCTTTTGCTTTGTCTATCACACAGCAAAAGAACTGGATTAGTTTTTTTTAATTACTTTTATCTTTTATCTTCGAGTAGGGCTAAGTTTTTAAAAACATAACTGTTTAAAGTTTTCAACCTAAAAGAGGGCCTGAGTTTATCCCGGGGCATCCCAGGGACCCATGAGGCCATGAAAGTGCACGGTCTCCAGTCTGAGAGGCCTGGCCCGAGGCCTGCCTGGGGCCCGCATGTCCCGTCTTGCTTCAGCCTCGCCTCTTTCCCATGCAGGGTGGGTCCTGCTGTCTGATTCTGTGCCATTGTGAGCCCTGGGGCCCGCTCAGAAGGAGGGGAAGGATGAATTTGTACCTCACAAAGGCGGCCTGATTAGAATTGGCTCCATTACCGGCCTCGCTGCGTGCCAAGGCACTGTGTGCTCGGATTCGCACCCCCGCGAGCTCCGGCCCCTCCCGCACCACCCAGGGCAGCTGCCTGTCGCTCTGACGTGACAGGGACACAAAGGCCTCGAAACACTCCGGTTCGGAGAGGTCACAGCTGCCTGCACTGTGCGCGGTCCTAAGAGCTGCCCTTCTGCGGAATCCAGAGTCTCTGGCTTGCACCTCGGCGCCCCCAGCCCCTCTCGCTGCTGCAGAGCCTGCGTTCACCTGTGTCTGCATCTTCGCCTTTCCCTTCTGCCCCTGAACTTCGGAATCTTTCAGGGATTCTGCTCCTTCGTATCCTGTGGTCCTGTGTTGAGTCATTCTGGAAATTCTAACCACAGCCGGACTTACATCCTCCCCTACCTGCCAAAACCAGCCTTCTCTGAGGCTCTGAGCCCCAGCTCTCACCTACACCTGGTCAGCTCAACCTGCTGCGAGCAGTTTAGGCTCCTGAGACGGTTCTCCACGCGGCCGCCAGAGGGAGCCTTTCACAGAGAAAAGGTGCGAGAGATTTAATAAAACTCTCAGGGACTCTGCAGTGTTAGAGGGAGGAGCCCAGCCAGCCATCTTCACAGAGGAGAAAGTACTTGGTAAAAATGACGAACAAACATTCATTCTGCATGGTCTACAAAGTCTGGGTAGCAGTGGAGAGAGCCGGTGACGTTTGAACCACCACACCATGAGTCCCCCTGCCTCAAGCTCTGCCCCAGGTTAGGTGCAGCCTGGTGGCAGGGCACATCTCTCCCTGTACCCCTGGGGTGCACCTGCAGGCTCACCTTCGCAGAAGCTGGATGCTGTGAGCAGAAGTCCTGCTCTAGGCAGGTAGGGGAGAGGACCTGCCCCCTGCATGAGCTCACCAAGACCTTCCCTGTCACCTCCAGCAGGGACCGGGGCTTCAGTCGGTCCTGTGGGTGCAAGGAACTGAATCCAGCCTCAGAGGAACAGCCCCCGGAATTGCGTCCTTCCCAGAGCCTCACAAGGGACTCAGCTCTGCTGATGTCCACATTTCAGTCCCCGAGACCCAAAGCTGAGGATTCAGAGCCCACCCGGCTTCAGATGATAACGCTGAGCACTAAAAGATCACACTCCAAGTGGGTGCACGTGTGGTTGTTACTGTGGCAATAGAAAACACAGGTTAGACTGCAATACAAAAGGGAAGGAAGAAAGACGCTAGAGGCGATAAAACACTCAGCAGGAGCAGGACCTTCCTGCACGAGGGTGAGCGTGTCTGTGGGGGCTGCTGCGGCCAGGCCTCGGCTCTGGATGGGCCCCAAAGGAGCAGATCTCATTGGCTTGGGAGTGGCCCAGCTCCAGACAGATCAGAGGCTTCCCAAGGGCCCAGTGTGCAGTCAGGTCCAAGCCCTCTCCCTAAGAGGTTACCCTGACTCGGCATCCTCTCCAAAGGTCCCCCCAAAGTGGGAAGAAGGTGCCTGAGGTGAGTTCTGGGTGGGCGAGCTTGGATGTGAATGCTCCTCTGTCACTTTCCAGCTGGTGCAGCCTCCGCTGTCTGCACGTTGGTTTTTGTCTTGGGAGCATCGGAGAAGTTTTTCTCCAGGCGTGCCCCCTGGAACCTGTTATAGCTGCAACCTCACGACCTCCCCAAACCAGCAGCTCAGGGAGGGCCCGAGAGCAGCCCTGCAGGGTGCACTCACCACTCTCACCACTGGCGCACGGGAGACACAGCGGCAGGCAAGGACTGGAGGCACAACAACAGCAGTCCTGTCCTGGTCCAGGAGAGCCCACCCGCGGCTCCTGGGAGATCGGTACCCCTCTCATGTGGGCCACCTAGCCTCTGTCCAGCAGGAACCCAGCCAGGTGCCCCAGCCCTCGGGGTGAGAGCTTCCGGTCTGACTGTCCTTGACAGCCTCTGGCTGCAACGATTTCCCAGAATCTGGAATTAGGAACATTTCCGAAGAAATCATTAATTCTCCTCCCAATCCTCCAAGCCCTGTGAACTGCCTACTGCTTGAAAAACAAAAACATAAAGTGATTGCTGATTATAGGCTGGAAGAGAAGTAGCATAAATGGTCTTACTTTGGCTAAGTTGAAATAGATTTCGTCTTGGCACAGGCTGTGGCCTCACGGAAGTCCTCTTTCCACCCACACTGGCTGTATGGATTGTCTCCTCTGAGCCGCAGTTTTCCTGCCAAAGATAATAGTAATAATTGCTATTACTGTTATCAGCTTAATAGCCGGATTTTTAAGTACTGTCCTTGTTCCTCTCTGGGGGAGGCTATACACTGGGCCACTTGTTAGAGCCTCTTGGGGAAGGTTTAAAATCCACATTCCCAGGTCCCACAGGGCCTCTGCAGTGCTTCAAACTCTCTCCTGATCCCAAGATGCCAGCAACCAGGATTGCCCACAGCCTGGTGGACAGCCGGGCCGGTGCCCGCTGGGCCGAGGCTCCCATTCTTTGGGAACACAGCCCCTTGATTTTCCCTTGGGGAGCCTCCTCCCAGCACCCATAACTCAGTTCTGACCCAGACCAGGATGAGCAGAGTCAATTCCAGGCCCCTGTGGGCCTTGACCTTCAAACTTGGGTTTCGTAAACTGCTGCAAAGGAATTTAACCAATCAACATATGGGGCTTTGAAAACCCTTAACTTCATTTCAGAGAAAAAGGTGTTTTGTGTGTGCGAGCATTTGCGTGCGCATGCACGTGTGTGTGCATGTGCACGTGCGTGTGTGTGTGTTTGAAAAGAAAAAATAGAACAGGGCCGTGACCTTAATTGGAAGCAGATGCGCAGCCCTTCTGAGCGCTCCTGCTCTCAGCCTGTGAACCGCCCTCTTCCCTCTCCACCCCCACACGGGAGCCCTGTATTCATCCATCCAGGCCCAGAGCCATGGGCACCGGGGCCCCTGCCTGCTTCACTTTCCTCGTAATCATGCAGCATCTGCCGCGCTGAACCTGCCCTGCATCCCTGGGCCTGGCAGGACCTCAGTCACGGGCTCCTCTGTGTCGTCGACCTGTGTTGCTCACCCTGCTCCAGTTCGTGCAAGGGGCCCAGGGGCCTAGCGAGGGGCTGGGCAGACATCCGGCCCCTTCCTATTCCTGTGTCCCCAGTTGGCAGGGCCCTAGGGAGAGCGGATGGTGGCAGCCCTGCCTCTGCTCTCTGAAGTTTCTGAGCTCTCTCTGGCATCTCGCTCCTAGTTGGCTGCTGTTTTTCCCCAAAATCCCTAAAGATGGCTTCTCTCCGCTCCCGAAGGCCACATGAGTGGCCCAGATAACTCCTCACCCTAGAGACCAGAGTGGGCACCACCGGAGTTTCTGCTTTCCCTGGGGTCCTGGGCCTCACGGCCTTGGGGTCCAGCCTGGGACATGGCCTCCTGGTGTGCGCCCTGCAGGCCCAGGGGCCAAGCTCCTTTGTGGCCCTGCTGTTGAAATCCTGATGCGCATCCACGTGGCCCTGGCCCTGCCCCTGCCCCTTCTGTAGCTGTCCTGACCCCGAGCAGGGAGCTGTATGCATTGCGCAGGGCCTGAGGAAGCCACTTAGGAGGCGTGTGGTGATGCTTCAGCCTGGAGGCCACCTGAAGCCCCGGGTCTTCCAAACTCCACCTACCCTCCCAGGACAGAGCCGGTAACCTGGGAGGAGAGGTAGGACAAGTGTTCCTTCCGGCTCTTCCTTCATCCCTTTGAAACCACAGGCTCATCTTCTGCACCCTCACTGCCAACTGCAGGTATTGCTGTGAACTCAGGTGCTCGGGCTGGTGAGTTCTGATCCACTGAAGTGCACAGGCTGCAGTGGATCCTCTGTCAATCAAGGCGAATGCAATCTGCCTACCCGAGTATGTTATATTACATTTACAATGTAGCGATTCAGACTTGTGTGTTAGATATTAGAGAATTAACGTCAGCATGTTGAGAGCTACTAGCAATGTACATGGCCGCCTTATTGTTAGGAGTTCTCCTTAATTTTTAGTGCTGTGTCCTGGAACCTATGGATGTGACCCAGAGTGGTTGAGTCGCCTTGGCTTTGCACATCAGCTGTCTTCACCCAAAACCCTGTGAAGCCTGGCCTTGCTGTTTCTCTTCTGTTCCTGATCTGAGCACTTCCACCTCAGGGCCTTTGCATATGCATTGCCCTGCACAGGGGTCTGTGCCGCAGACCCTTGGCCACGCTGCTCACTCTATCTAATTCGGGTCTCAGACCTCCCCAGCCTCTCCCCTAGCTAGTCCTCCCTTCTTCCTACTTCCTACTTCCTACTTCTTTTTACTATCTCCATCCGGTTCTTTGAATGGGATAGCAAGAGCCTAGAGAGACCCACTGGACACCACATGGTCCCACGGCAACCAGCAAACCCTCAGCTCTGATCGCTCGCTGTCATTAACCGAATGCCTCAACCAGCCAGGCTGCATGTGCTTACCCAGGCCAAGGGGGAGAAGGGCGACCCCACTGCACACGCTGGGTGCGGACTCTTTCCCCAAGGGAAAGAAGTTGCTGTTACCCGGAGAAGGGACCGCTCTGGTAGGCAGACAAGAAACAGCATTGGAAAGAGCCCCGTCCCGCTGGGAGGACTCCCTGGAGGAGCCCGCCTGTGGACTAGGGTGCCCTCCCATTCGGATGAAGCCGACGTGGAAAGCTCTCTGTGGCTGCTGTGAGCATTCAGTGAGCTGCAGGCAGAGCCTGGGTGCGCAGAGCAAGGGGCCTGTGCACTGCCCGGTTCTGCCGCCACCCGCAGCTCTTGGGCCCTAGGTGGTGGAGTAGAGACAGAACCACCCCCAGGTTCATTCACAGATTCAGGTAGCGCTTTAAATAGACTCCGTTTGGGATCTACCCTGGGATAATTACCTAATGTGCCACTTAATAGGAGTTAGTGAAGAACTAATTAATGCAGGCATTCTCTGACAGCCGTCACGGGGAGCTGAGAGCCGGGTAGGAGCAAGGCTGTCACCCAGCTCCTAGAGGTGTCTGAGATGTCAAAGCCAGCCTCGGAGTGGCAGAGAAGGGCTGCCGAGCAGGCATGCTCTTCGACTCCCTTCTCCAAGCTTCCAGGGCTGTGGGAAAGCGAGAGCGGCCACGAGGACTAGGAGTGGTGGGCCTGCGAGGGGTAGGGTGACAGCTTTGCTTTGCATGGGGGACCCCACAGGTCACACTCCCGCTCGGCCGGAATGGAGCCACAGAGAGATACAGTGTGGTCAGCTGGGTGACTCCTGGGCGTGTGAGGGGTGATCTCCAGGGCACTCTTGGTACAAAGGATGTGCTCCAAGGTGAGCAGGCCAAACAGTGGGCTATGGCCGCCAGATGTGGCAGAAGAGGGCTTCCCACGACCCCCACAGCAGCCCCACAGAGCAGGAGGCACCAGGCTGCAGAGGACTGGCCTGCCTGGTCGCAGCATGGAGCTGGGACTCAAGCAGAGGCCACATTGCCCCCAGAGAAGTCCCTACTGTCCACCCACTGACCACCCAGGGGACCCTGAGAAGGGCCTGCTGGCTGCAGGAGGAAATCTTTCCCCTTCCCTTTTGTTTAGATGTTGCTCAGGAGCTAACAAATAAACCGACCCCAGCAGATCCCAGCAGTACCCAAATTTCCATGGCGGTGGGGGCGCACACAGGGGTCCCTAGCATTGCCAAAGGCTGCAACAAAGCTGGATTTCACTAAGTGAGCTCTGGTGCAGACAACACCAGGGAGGGAGCCCAGGAGGGGTCCGCACGCTCTAAGCCCTGGAGGAGGAAGTGGGGGGAACTGGGTTCCTTCCAGTGAATGCTTCTGTCCCCACCTCCTCACCTGAGATTCAGAAGGGATGACATCTGGGGCGAGAGGTGAGGGGACAGGCGCCAGGAGCCCAGACAGGAACGGAAAGTGACTGAGGCCGCCTTGACACACACCCCCGCCACCCCCACCCCGGCCTGGTTCTCTCACTGACTCACGTTTGCTGTTTGCTCACCGGATGCAGGTTCCTGAAAACCCAGAGAAAATTCTAGAGGAAATCCTGCTCTTTGACCAGAGGGGGTGCTGTTGCCTCACAAATGAGCTGCATGAGGCACCAAGGGAAAAATTTTCCACTCTGCAGTCCAAAGACTCGAAGTTTCCATCCATAACCAAGACTTGAATCCTGGCAAACCCTCATATTTTCTCCCGCTGGTACCGCTTCCCAGGGAGGGTCCCTTGGTACTTTCACAGCCGGGGCGAGGGGAAAGGACTGTCGGGGTTAGTGAGCACCGATAATGGACAAGGGTTAGTGTGCCAGAGTCAAAACCTAGTCTGTGCTACCCACTTTACAAGTGCTTCTGGTGCTCACAGTTACCCTGTGGGGGTGTTACCGTCCTGCTGTGGAATCTGGGCAGCTGGTTCCTGGCTGCAGTCTAGGGTCTCCTGTCAGTGAGGACTCAGCTTTTGGGCTGAGCCTGACGGCCCCACAAGTACCCTTTCCCTTGCTGCATTATTGCGGGGGGGTGCTATGTGGGAGGTGAAACCTAAACCTCAAAATGCATTTCTTTTCTTCTTCCTTCCTTCCTTTTCAGCACTGGGGACTGAACCCAAGTCCTTCCTGCTGAGCCCCATGACCAGTGTGTCCCCCGCCCCGACCATAGGGTCTCACTGAGTCATTATGTTGTCCAGGCTGGAACTGGAGATCATTCTGTCTCAGCCTCGGCAGTGCTGGGATTACAGGGGTGGCCACCATGCCCCCCAGAATGACATTTCTGCTCCCCGCAGCCCCTCCCTCCACGGGGCACATGTGTCCGCAAGGCAGCGTTTCCAGGCCCTCCTGCTTTGCCCTCCTGGCTGGGCTGTGTGGGTCCGAGCATCTGGGCCTCGGGGGGACCTGGCAGGTAGGGATCCTGGGAGGAAAATCGAATTAAACAATCATCTGTGGCCAGATGTTCTCAGCTTTTAAGCCACATTTTTTTATGGCCCGGGGAAGGACCCTTTCCCCATTTTGGCATAGGCTGTTTCACATTGTGATGTGCAGGAGGCCAAGATCCTGTCCCCCTGCTTCGGCTAAGCTGGAAATAAGCATGTTCAAGCCCGTGAGTCAGGAAGGGGAGACAGGAGAGGGGAAATGTGTTTTTCTTTCATATTTATGAGAGAGAGAGAGAGAGAGAGAGAGAGAGAGAGAGAGAGGTTGAGGAGAGAGGAAGCAAACAAGGCAGCCATTAGCACGACTCCTCCTACGCCTGCATTTATGGAAAAGCATACTTCAATTCAGTGCTCAGGAAAAATGGACTTTTTTGCAATGTGGATGGCTCGGCCAGCTAATCTAGCCTGTTTCTTGGGGGCTACTCTGAATTTTTGTAAATAAAACCAAGGAGGACCACTTGCAAAAATGAGCATTATTAGGCAAAATGTGTTAATTTGATGCTGACAGGAATAATTGGGCACACGTGACTCGCAGGAGGCTTAAGACGACTCACAGGTTGGAGCTTTTCTTGGTGACTTGGTGATTGTCCAGCAGTGCCCACTCAGCCCCAGACATGGCTAGGTATCAGGGGTCTGCAGCCAGCATCAGGGACTGGCTGCTGAGACTTTCTCCACACAGCAGGGCCCCCAGGCTCGCAGGGTGCTGGGAATGTAAGCAGGAAACTCATGTATTCCGGCCTCTTCCCCTTCCCCTTCCTCCTCCTCCTCCTCCTCCTCCTCCTTCTCCTCCT